GTTATAATACGCACTCAGAGATTAAAAAAAAAAACACACACACAAAAAAACCCCAAAAAACCAAAGTAGTCTTCTTGAAAAAATAACATCTTAGGTTTACTAAAAAACTTCTTGTATATATTCAGCATACCAGTCCATGGTCCAATGTCTTTAAGCATATAGATATAGTCCAAACTGTAGAACGGTATTCACTGAAATCTGAAAGGAGGCAAACTGCAATCCACCTCCACTGAGGTCTAAAAACATACTGGATAACAAAAATGAAGTTCTGTGTCTGAAGCCCCTCCCACACCAAGGAGCTGTGGCATCCTCAGAGGTTGTGAGATCAGGAGAGAATGCTTCTGGAACATGGCTGGAAAACACACAACAACCCAGTGATTCCAGCCATGAAAGCCTTCGCCAATATACTGCAAATTGCTTCTGGTATGAGATAATTGGCTGCAGAACTTGGCGGTTCAAATCCGCAGGATGGGGTGAGCTCCCATTGTTAGCCCCAGCAAACCAAGAATGGGCAACTTGGAAGTCCCTGAACAGACTCAGAAGTGGAGTGGGCAGATCAAAAGACAACCTGGTAAATTGGTACTACCTAGAGCAGGGGTCCTCAAACTTTTTAAACAGAGGGCCAGGTCACAGTCTTTCAAACTGTTGGAGGGCCGGATTTTAATTTGAAAAAAAAAATGAATGAATTTCGATGCACACTGCACACATCTTATTTGTAGTGCAAAAAACACTTTAAAACAATACAATAATTAAAATGAAGAACAATTTTAACAAATATAAAGTTATTAGTATTTCAATGGGAAGTGTGGGCCTGCTTTTGGCTGATGAGATATGGTTGTTGTTGTGTGCTTTCAAGTCTTTTCAGGTTTAGGTTGACCCTGAGTGAGGGCCAGGTAAATGACCTTGGAGGGCTGCATCTGGTCCCCGGGCCTTAGTTTGAGGACCCCTGATCTAGAGGAATCCTCCACCTTGTACGACTGTGGAGCAGAACTAACAACTCCTCATCTGTATGCTTGCCCACAATGTCCTGCCTCATGTACAGAGGAAGAATGTTTTAAGCAGTGGTTCCCAACCTGTGGTCCGTGGACCACCAGTACCCCCAAGAATGAAAATAGGGGCTGCAGCCTCACCATTACTACACCAGTGCCTTGAAACCATGCAGCAATGAGAGCAACTGGTCTTGGGAAACCCTCATATAGTGCTGATACAATGGGGATGTTGGGAGGAGAGAGGCTGACTACCCACAAAAGATTACTACTACCACATCAGCTCTAGATTATTAAATATGGTTTTCTGTGGGTGAGCAGATGGCGACTACTGGATGGTCATATGTTCTGCATCAGAAACAAGAACCGATGTGGTCTATCCAGTGCAGTTTTCTGAATCAGCACCCCAAATAATGAAACCAAATCTAAAGTTGAACAAAAACTGATTCATAACCCTTTCGGTACTAATTTTGGAGATGGTCCCTGGTCAAAGTGGTCCCTGGTAAAAAAAGAAGAAGTTGGGAACCTCTTGTTAAAGCTACAGACAATGTGGTCTCTGTTGCCTGTTTTTGGTCAACAAATATTTAGCTGCTTGTGCTCCTATTTTTATCAGTTTTATACTTATTTATGCAATGCTTTTGATATGAAATAAATTATTGTTTTTCCATCTTAAGACACTTTATTTGTTTTGCTTTTTGCCATTTGTCTTACTTTTTATGGAGATCACAAGTTACTTTTGCACATTCAATTTTTTATTGCTACTTTCCTTCAAATCTATTCATTTTTTCCCTCCTGGCTGTTCTTTGTATCTGAATTCTCTGCATATTCTTTCTGTATCTTTGCAATCTTCTGGTTCTTTGTTGCATGTCAAAACTCAAGAGTTCTTTCTCTATTTTTTGTGCTCATTTCCTATTACTTTTTATCTATAGAATTATATACCAGCTGATAATCATTCAATTAATCCTTTTTTTAAAAAATCCTTAATGTCTATCAGCTACTGTATGTCCCATTGTTTTCAGACTCTTCTTCCTCCAGATATTTTAAATACTTTGTTCCTTATCTACGTTAGATAGTAAGTCCATTGGAAAGCTCTGCGTTTCATATCCATTGTTCACAGCATCCATTTTAGGCACTTCAAAAGAAATAAGATGATTAGAGCTTGTTTAAGATGTAAGTAGTCATATATTTAACAGTTACAAAATCTACTTGTCAGCATTCATTTTAATTGCATGGACATTATATTGAGCATAGAACTTGAAGCAGAAACGTCTGTGACATCTATTCCCTCCAAAAGTCATTTTCTATGTATTTGCAATGATCCTATGCCAGCTGTGCTCTCAAATGTTGGTAACCTAGGAGGGTATTTACTCTCCTCTTTGCATAACCTACTCTCTCCTTCCCTCTTTATGACTGATCAGTCACAGAGCTGTGCTAAGTGTTTCACACTTAATGAAGACCATGGTTGTCACATCTTATTCAGATGACAGGTAAAGATTAGCTGGCAGCTGGAAAGTTCTGCCTCTTTATAAAAAAGACAGAAAATTGGAGGAGTCAGATTTCACATTATTTTATACAAACAGTAACCTATGCAAGGCTTCTGCTGTCTACTCTAATCTTTCTTATATTGTACACATTTCATTTACATTTGTTTACTACAGAGACTCAATGCTGGGATTTTATATTGCAAAGTACTTTGAGAAAAACAAACAAGCCTGACAACACCATTGAAAACACAATTCAGTTGCATGCTCCCTAGGCTTACCCAAAGCTAGACCAAATCAAGAGTAGTGAAATGCTGAGGTTTTAACACCTGAAACAGCAACTTCCTCCAATATTGCAAGGCCAAACAATTAGAGACATTATAGTTTGGTTCTCCAGCGGTTTGATTACTCCTTTCATTTTACAGTCCCAGGTTTCTAAACCAGATTTATTATAGATTAGCTTGAGTACAAGGCATTGCCTGGGTTATTTGAAAAAGTCAGTTTTTTAATTGTACAAAATGCATAAGGTTGTGGATTAAGTACAACTCACATCATGCCAGGTTAACCCCGAAAAACTTCATCAGTACTTAAAGTTTGTTATATTGGGCAAGTTTCCTCTAGATCAATGGTTCTCAACCTGTGGGTCCCCAGGTGTTTTGACCTATAACTCCCAGAAATTCCAGCCAGTTTACCAGCTTTTTTTCAAACTTAAGGAATCTTAGCAGCAGTGCGTCAGCTCTCTTTTGTTTTTCTGCTTTTTCCTGCTTCAAGAATGTTACCATTAGTGCTTCAGGAGCACAGGTACTGCCAATTTGGACCAGGTTGTGGCATAGCTGGTTGGGAATCAGCTGCATTAAAATCACTACTGACTGAAAAGTCATGAGTTCAAAGCCAACCCGGGCCGGAGTAAGCTCCCGACCATTTGTCTAGCTTGCTGTCGACCTTTGCAGCCCGACAGACAGTTGAATCTGTCAAGTAAGAAATTTAGGTACTGCTTATGCTAATTTAATTAATTTACGACGCCATAAAAATTTCCAGCAGCATGCAAAAGAATGAGGAAGTACTCCATCTGTGTTACAAGTGGACAGTGAAACGACAGCTCCCCCGGTGGCTGGAATTCAAACATACCCTCATGAAGCTGGAAAGTTAAAGTCTATATATGTTGTGTGTCTATGGCATTGAATGTTTGACATGTATATGTGCATTGTGATCCACCCTGAGTCCCCTGCAGGGTGAGAAGGGCGGAATATAAATACTGTAAATAAGTAATAAATAAATAAACAATTTATACCTGCACTTGCAAGAGACTACTGTTTTCCTATCTTTCCCCCTAAAAGATCTGCCACAATATTCTAAGTACAGTTATAGAAACATATGAAGACTAACGGCCCTTCCACACAGCTATATAACCCAGAATATCAAAGCAGAATAACCCACAACATCTGCTTTGAACTGGATTATGAGTCCACACTGGCATACATCCCAGTTCAAAGCAAATAATGTGGGATTTTATTCAGCTATGTGGAAGGGGCTTAAATGACAAGTGTAGATTGTATATCACAGCATAATAAAGGTAAAGGTTTCCCCTGACATTAAGTCTAGTAGTCTAGGGTGGTGGTGGTGCTCATCTCCATTTCTAAGCTGAAGAGCCGGCATTGTCCGTAGACACTTTCAAGGTCATGTGGTTGGCATGACTGCATGGAGCACTGTTACCTTTCCGCAGAAGCGATGCCTATTGATGTACTCACATTTGCATGTTTTCAAACTGCTAGTAGCTAGGCAGTAGCTAGGGCTAACAGCGGGAGCTCACCCACTCCCCAGATTCAAGCCACCAACTTTTCAGTCAGCAAATTCAGCAGCTCAGTGGTTTAACCTGCTGCATCACCAGAGGGCCACAAACACAGCATAGAAGAGAAAATTACTTATATGTAACTACTGGATTTTTATTCGTGATTTTGTGCATGTTTGGGGAACGTGTATTAAATAATAATAATAATAATAATAATAATAATAATAATAATAATATACTTAACAAACTGTTTTCAGACTTAAAAATTGGAAATAGCTATTTTTTGAAATCTCCCACTTCTACAAAGAGCATCCTGATAGTATAGAATACCAGTTTCCAATTTGTAATTAAGTACGTTTATGCCTTGAACATGAGCACAGTTGTTTGCTAAGTACGCACACATTTGGAATAGGAGAGAAAACTCTTGGCACCGAATTGGCAGCTTCTTATCTGTGTGGGGTGCAGCTCCTGTCAGTAAGACCATCCTGTGACTTGATGAGGTGCCTATCTTTGTATTCTAGCTGTCACAATTGCTCTTTGGACTCACAATATCATTTAGACCTGAGCCTACTATCAAAGTTTTCTCCTAGTTTTCCAGCTGCCATTGTCACAGCAACACAGAAAATGCTTACAAGCTGAGCATCTATTTCTTCTTGAAAAGGAGAAAAGACTCACTCCAGAATAACTGAAATAACTTTAGTAGCAAAGTAATACAAATAACGCTTGAAATAAAAAAAAAACACCTCATGTTGTCAAGATTTACCAACTTTCTGACAGATCAAAAGGCCTTACATAGCATTATACACAAATTATGCACACACACAAAAGGAAAGGACTCGCACATAACACCTAATAATATCTCTCTAGATAACATCTGGAAAGAGATGTATGATTTAGTGGTCCCTTGACCAGATCCCTGCTAATCTTGGCAGCGTCTCCTTCACAGATAAAACTCTGTCAGGCGGGAGGATTCGGAGGTCTTGATTAAGTAGGGATAATATTTAATCTGTTTTTATCATATATGATCGGTTAACTGGGCCAATTAATCATCTAAACTCTGCAGTCTTATGAATTACTACTCAACCCCACCCAACTATCCACCCAATCTGCAAAAGTTTTGATGGAGGAGAAGATAAAAATGGATATTGCACAAACTTCTGTGGATGCTTGCCATAGATGCAGGCGAAACGTCAGGAAAAAACCTACAACAACCCAGCTTCTGTGATGCTTGCAACTCCTTGAGTACTGTATACAAATACAGGCACATAAATGTTCACCCCATGCCAGCATGAATATGAATACTGTTGGTTTAAGAGATTGGGACAGGGAAGGAGGCAGGGAAGAGTCGATGCTTGGTCCTTGAGGATAGAAGCATTCAAAAAGTACAGCAATGATTTGCGATCAAACCTCTAGCACCACACTTTCAAGGTCACCAAATGGCTGGATTCTAGGGATTAGGGGAACTATTACAGCCTTGACTCCTATTCCCAGGAACAATATGAGCTTTGAAGACCAAAATATTTGCCCCAAGGGCAATTTCCATCTTACTCACTACTATTTTTCATCTCACAAACTGCTCATCAAATAATGCATTTAGGAGAGGTCATGGTCAGTGAGTTTGTACATCAAAATATCTATCAAAAGTCCTGGAAGCAATGTAATTATAACAAAAAGAGAGGGGAATGGAGACTCTTGTTATTAAACCAGTTCAAGTGAACCAATTCACTAAAGCATGTATTGCAAAGCAAAAGGAATAAAAAACACCAATTTGGGGCATTTAGAAATGTTTAGGTATTTTTATCAGACTCTTCAGAACTTTCTTCATTTTCACTCCCACTGTTATCTGTATTGCTGGTATCCTCTTCACTGTCATCACTGCTTTCTTCATCAGTCTCTTCGCCAGTTTCTTCACCATCTTCTTCAGGAGCTCGTTGGCTTTCTAAGATGCAAATTCAAAAGAAACAAACTTTATGTCTGCATTGATTGAAGTTATTGGGATCTGGGTTGGGATTTGCCATCTTCCACTACTCTTCGTTGTCTCTAGGACAGTGGCTCTCAAATTGTGCTCCTCCAGATGTTTTGGACTTCAGCTCCCAGAAATCCCAGTCAGCCTACCAGCTGTTAGGAATTGTGGAAGCTGAAGTCTAAAACATCTAGAGGAGCAGTTTGAGAACCACTGCTGTAGGATATGCAGAATTCATAGTTCCAAGGTACCTTTCCCATGTGCCTCCTTTTGATTATATTTCCCTTGGAATGCAAAGACTCCCAAACCAAGGGGAAAACCAGTGGATATTGATCTCTTTGCATGACCTTTGATCACTACTGGAGAAAATGAACAGAGGAAGCCATCTCCTGCTGCTATTGAGGAAAAGTACTTCCTGAAAATGTTTACTGCAGGTTGGATTGAAACATGGATAATTCTTAGGTAGGTTATGCCGGTAGTTTCCATTTATTTGCCATTCTTGGCCCATGCAATGCTAAAAGGTTTGTGTTGCTGTTTAGTAGTGAGTTTTAGTACTGAGTTTGAAGAATGGGGTGTCCCTTGAGCAAAACATTTTCTCCTAGCACAAAAAGAGCATGTTTATAGATATATTATCAGGATACAATAAGAAGTGAGGCTTTTCCTGGCTTTGCTGAAAGACTGGTTTTTTGGACTCTTCACTTGTATGGTTCCTTTCTTAAAGTAAAGGTAAAGGTTTCCCCTTGACATTAAGTTTAGCTGTGTCCAATTCTGGGGGGCGGTGAGTGCTCATCTCCATTTCTAAGCCAAAGAGCTGGCGTTGTCCACATACACCACCAAGGTCATGGCTGGCATGACTGCATGGAGCGCTGTTACCTTTCCATGAAAGATATCTATTGATCTACTCACATTTGCATGTTTTTGAGCTGCAGAAGCTGGGGCTAACAGCAGGAGCTCACCCTGCTCTCTGGATTCGAACCACCAATCTTTTGGTCAACGAATTCGGCAGTTCAGCACTTTAACACACTGTGCTATCGGGGGCTACTTTCTTAGCTGGTCATTATATGAATTGTGAAACTTTAAGAAGTGATGTTTCTTAAACTCCCCACTCTACCCCAGTCTCATTTCTCTTGTTGCTGTTCCTTAAAAACTGCTCTGGAAGCCTATGGGGGGATAGGGAGGTGAAGAATACTGGAAGATGTACTGGATGCACAAATAAACAAATACTTTACATTTACATACATATTACATTAAACACCAGTTATATGATAATGTGTGGGTGTGCTTTATAACAGTGTGAATCTATGTAATTTGCATCTAATGGTGCAGTCCTACGCACACTTTGAAACTGAATCCAGTGGGACTTACTTTGTAGAAAACATACATAGGATTGAGCTTCAAGTGTAGTTCACACTTCTAATACCTTTCCAAGTCCACTGTGAGAAAGAGTAGGGACAGTTCTATATAGGTAAGGAGCAAACTTAACATTTGCTGTAAGCATTTTATTTCCCCCCAGAAATGTGATTGTTTGATCCTTCATTAGCTTCTTGATGTTTTGTCTTCAAACGCCATACAAATACAAGAGGACCTCAAGCTCTTTGCAGTTAGAGGTTACAAATGTTTGTAGAAATGTTTGCAGTAATTGCAGTTTTCACACTTACCCAACAGCAGTTTTTGCTCAATAAGTGGAAGAAACTGCTTGGCCTCGGGGTTTTCTGGTTCATATATTAGAACTGGAATGTGACAAGAAAGGAAAGGGCAATGTCTATACAATGTAACAGAAAAATGGATAATCTGCAAAAATCCAGTTCTGGTTCACAGCAATGTACAGTGTTGTCCCCCACCCCTTCCAGGGTAAGTGTTTCCTTGTTTGTATCAGTATCACAAGCTTCAAAAGGAACAACAAATGAAATGTGTAAAAAATCATATGGGCAAAGTTCTGGTTATATGAGAGGTTTAAAAGACATAATATTCATTACTATTAACAATATAGCAGAACTGTCCCAATATTTCAGTATTTTTTTCCAACTCAGCTTAAAAAAAATCCACTATAAAACATGGAGATAAATATGCAAACTTACTCTCCAGCATTACAGCAAAAATGTTCTTTTTACAGAACAAACACATTTTTCTTTTTACAGCAAACTCCATTTTCTTAGAGTAAAATTAGTTGTGTTGGAAATCCCTTGCAAGTTGTCTAAAATCTGGGGCAAGTGCATTTCCCATTACTGTACAGTTTACATTATTGAATATTAGCACTGGGGTGCTCTTCACCAGGATTGTGATTATATAATCGGTCCATATGAGGTTGAAATGAAATAGGCCCATATGAGATCGACACTTCGGCACTTTAGTTGTGATTTGAAGGCAGCTAGTTTTAACTACAGATGGCCTGCATTTTAAACTTTTTTATTTTATTTTATGTGTTAATAGTGGTTGTTTTTATAACTTTTCTGTGATTTTTTTATACTCATGTACTGTCTATGTTATATACTACACTTGCAGTGCCTTGTAAGCCATCCCGAGTCCCTTTTGGGAGATAGTGGCAGGATATAAATAAAGATTACTACTACTACTACTACTACTACTACTACTACTACTACTATAATATGCAGTGAGGGATGCATTCTCTTCTCACTCTCCCTGCCTAGTTAATGCTACAATGAAAATCTGCATCCCACGACTGCTGTTGCCCCAGATACTGACCTTGGGGCCAATGGTAGTGCCCCGTTAAGGGCAAATAGCAGCTTGGATGGTGGCAAACTCTCCCAGCAGTACAGGAAAGAGGGGAGAGGTGTAAAAAATCCTTCTCTATGTGCTATAAATACCATCCTAATCAGAATCCCAGCACTGTTGTTTAAGTTTAAATATTTTATTTATTTATTTATTTATTTACTCTATTTATATCCCACCTTTCTCTATCCTGAAGGGGACTCAAGGAGGCTTTATAAATGGTAACTATTTGATGCCTTTAGAAAACAAACAATTAAATACATTTAATTTAAAATTTAAAAGTAGAGTTAAAATGTACATTAAAATATATTAACATTATAATTATTATTACAGCTGGCCCTCCGTATCCACAGATTCTGCATCCACAGAGTCAACCATCCATGGCTTGAAAATATTCAAGGGACATCATTTTACTACGAAATTGTAAATAATAGGACCCAAGATTTGGGTAATCCATGAGAAGGTCTGGAAAGCAAATCTCAATGGATACTGTAATATAGACATAGCAAATGCGCAACATATTTAAATGTATGTATCATCTAATTTGATTGCTGCTCCATGCCTTTAGGTTGTTTTCAACATATGACAATCCTAAGGTGAACCTATCACAGGTTAATGTATTGTCGAAGGCTTTCATGGCCGGAATCCCTGGGTTGTTGTAGGTTTTTTCGGGCTGTATGGCCATGGTCTAGAGGCATCCTCTCCTGACGTTTCGCCTGCACTTTGGCAAGCATCCTCAGAGGTAGTGAGGTGAAAACTATCACAGGTTTTTCCTGGAAAAGTTTGCTCAGCTTTCTTCTTAACTTGAGAAAGAATGACTTTCTCAAGGGCATCCTATGAGTTTCCACTGCTGAGTGTGAATTTGAACCCTATTTTCCAGCAGTCATGGTCCTCGACTCATAATACTACACCATGCTGATTGCCTTGCCCAATTTTACAATGTTTTAATTGTCCAATTTAGCATATTACCACTTACATAAGCAGTAGCTGAAATTCTGAAAACCGATGGAACAGATTTTCACTCTCCCACTTTTCTCACTATTCTTTCACACAAATGTTGCGCACTTTATTCATATTCTCAGAATCATCACAGCATTAAGGAACAGGGGAGAGAAGCTGTTCCTGTTGCTCTACACAGAAATACATTTCTACATGAAGCCGTACAAGAATGCATTGAAGAGTGTCAATATAGATCACTTTGCTTACTTTAGTATCTCTGCTCAGTGAGAGTAATTACAGTGCTGGAAATTTTATGATTAGAACGGTATACTAGCAACATATGTTTTGGAACACTGCTGTCAAGTTCTTTTCTCTATATGAAGCCATTCAATAAAGAACACAGAAAATTTGGAGTCACTGAGCAGTGAAGCAAATCTGCTGTCATGATAAAAATGATGGGTTCTGTGACAATTTAAACTAAGATTAATAAATTAATTACAGTGCAAATTCTAATAAGTAAACTGAAACTAGGTGAATAAATTAATGTCCTAAGTGAATGGTTACTTAAGTGACATTTCAAAAAAATAGAGAAAAATGCACATCACATAAATTGTATACTTACTCATCTGACATAGTTTTTTTGCGAGAAGGTATTTCCGCTCCATTATTGCTTTGAGAAACTATAAAGGATATTTTAAAATATACAGATTAGTACACAGAACTTTTCTCCAAGTCTGTAAAATCAACACTTCCACAACATTTCAACTCTGCCGCTTCATCATGTCATGGAGGTATGAAAAATTGTGACTGCCATTGGTGGACTATGTGTACCAACAAGACCACAGATCTTCAAAGCATGCACTGAACGTCTTATAGAGAAGTCTGAAAAAACAGGACACATCACACTGACACAATGAAGTATAACTCTTTGAATTATATTTGAGACCTTCCTCCTTACCCTCAACATTATTTCGTACAGATTTTCCATTTTCAGTGAAATTTCCACCAGAGAAATTCTCAATGTCCTGTGGACTCAATGTCTAAATGTTAAACTAGGTATGAAGAGCTCAGCTTTAAGTTCAACAATTTCTGCGTGGCAACCCCCCCAAATGGGTATACATAATACATCACTATTTGTTGCATGGATCCTTCAAACCATTACTTCTTTGTTAGGAAAAGCAATTCTATCTACTATCTAGCAGTTATTTTTAACTGGTTTAATAATTTATTTCATTCTCGATTATTTATAGAAACCGCTCTGGGTAGTAAACCAATTAGAGGCAGAAAAAAAAATTAAATAAACCAGTATTATTCTTGTGGACTAAGCAGTGTAATTATATGCAAGAACACTACTAATATTTTGTGATATCTGTTCTCAATATTATTTATTTATTTATTTATTTATTTATTTATTTATTTATTTATTTATTTATTTATTTATAGTACTTGTATTCCACACTTCTCATCCCGAAGGGGATTCGGGGCAGATCACAGAACACATATACTGCAAACATTCAATACCAATTATCCAACAGATAAGAGGTATATATAAGCTTTTTCCTCATTGTTTGGCATCTTTTGGAGGTTGTGCTCGGTTCTGGCCACAGTGGAGGGCTGTCACTCCATCTCCTTGCCAAAGAGCTTTCATTGTTTGCAAACTTTCCTCCAAAACACTTTAACTAAAATACCTCCCCACTTAATGCAGCTCCTATTAATCTACTCACATTGCTGTTTTCGATCCACTAGGTGGGCAGGGGAGCTGGGCTGAAGGCCAAGAGCTCACCCTGACCCGGCTTCGAACTGTCAACCTTTTGGCTGGCAAGATTTACTGCAGTTGAAACTGGTGATTAGCCTGCCATGCTAAAGCCAGCCCATTAGCACAGCAGGTTAATAAGAATGACATAAGAATGGTTTTGAATGGAACTTGTACCTCTCCCATTAACTGTAGTGGCGCAACTCTCTTTTTCACTTCATTGTCACTTTGTCCATTGCTGTCATCATCATCTGAGCTATCTGGCGGCTTCTCATCAGCAATTTGTTTATCCACGCTGTCCTTTTGAATTTCTGTTGTGACCTCATTGTTACTAATTGTTTCCACATTACTAGAATTTTTCATTTCTTCATCTACAGAAAATGAATGCATTATATATGAAGAGAGCAAACAGGAAGAGACAGCAAGCAAATGGAGCTTTGGCAAGATTGAGAGCACTGCAATAACTCTCTACATTAGTCTTAACTAATGTGAATGTAAGCAAACTCACTTTGTGACTGACTGCATTACATATTCTAAAATGATTTCTATTTAGCTGCTTCCTGGGCCAAATTATATTTAAACAAAGATAAGATCAACACTATAAAGTATTTCAATAACCTTAAGCTTTAGTTCAAATCTATCTCTTTAATCCACTTTCACCATTCTACCTTGTGCACCGGCTATTTTCTAGATAAAGAAAGCCAAAATGATAAAGGGATTGCAGTATTTCCTCTATAAGGAAATTGTTATGTCCTTAGGACAATTTAAGCCCACTACTTCTAAACAGGTTAGTCTTATTTAGAAAAGTATAACTAAGTTAAGATATGATATTCACAAAATCACTTATGATGTGGAAAGAGTAGGTAATGATATGTTCCTTTTCCTCTCTCTCTTACTATTAGAATAGTCACCCAAGAAAAATTATCTGCCAATAGATAAAGGAGAAAGAGACAGGGAAGTGGTCTGACCATTGGACCAAGACTTTGGAATTCAGGGTTTGAGGCTCTGTTTGACCATGGAAACCTAAGGCCCCTTCTACACTGCCATATAGTCCAGATAATCAAATCAGATAATCCACATTATCTGAACTGGATTATATGCATCTACAATGCCAAATAATCCAGTTCAAAGCAGATAATCTGGGTTTCATATGGTAGTGTAGGAGGGGCCTTTGGAAAGTCACACACTCTCAGTCCCAGAAAAAACACTTGGATGGGTTTTCTTGAGAGTTTCCATAGTTGGATATGACAAATGGCAAGATACAACAAAAGATTTAGGACAGAAAAAGGTGGTAGGGTTTGATATAAAACAGATATAGAGAATTCTCTACTACAGGATGGGTGATGGCCATGAGTAGATATGTTTTAAAATGAAATGAGATAAATTTATGGGGGGAAAGAATGCCAAATGATGACACTAATTGATACAGAGGGACTCCTCTAAAAATGCTGCAGGTAGGCTGAAAATTAGGGCCCTTCCACACAGCCCTATATCCCAGAATTTCAAGGCAGAAAATCCCACATTATATAGGGCTGTGTGGAAGGGCCCTTAGTTGGTAGAGCTGAAAGTTAGTTAGTATGAGCGAAAATGTAATACAGATATATAAAACTCTAGAAAAATGAGTATTTAATACAATGAAATGTTAATTCCAACTATATTCAGTTATTTATGTAAAATACTTTTTCTGACCTCTTAGGACCTTTCCATACAGTCCTATATCCCAGAATATCAAGGCAGAAAATCCCACAATATCTGCTTTGAACTGGGTTATATGAGTCCACACTGCTATATGTGGGCTCCTCAACATGATACGTCCTCATACATGCACCATCTTTTCAGATTTGCATACAAAAGAAAGATTTGCTCTTTTAAGCTTTTTCCAAGGCTAAATTAATAAAGGTTCTTTGTTTCTTAGAACAAAGTTTGGAATATGCAGAAATAAATGAAGGCTATAGTTCTATTACACCTATTAGGGACTCACTGAACTCAATAAGAACTTGTAAATAGACACCCCTAGAATTGTGCCTAAGTAGTTTCTAAAAGGCTCCCTTTTTAGTTAAATGTGCTAAACGAGTGCAATGTTTGATATGAAATTATATTGAATCACTCCAGTTCAATTTGGATTATTAGTAGGATGTGCTGTTTGCAGCACTTCCTCCAGGTGCCAGCGGAAATAAATAAATAAAAATCCTAAAAAGTTATTATCCAGAGTTACATTAATCAATGAAAGCTCAGTTCCTTTTACATCCCAATACAGATGTGCCGTATGTCCAGAAAGAGAATCACTGGTGGGAAGCACAGCTGCCATTTCCAGACTTGTGTAAAGTGATCCACATCATTTATTGAATCTTAGTTGTTTAACTTTTCAATGATTCAATGAATAAACAAATCTACCCATGCTTCTCCTTTTCCATCAGATTGGGCATTGCTACTGATCTGATGCATACATTTTTATTCATACTTCTTTTGAGCAACATTCAACTAACTAGTAATACTTTAAAAGAGTGAGTTGATAAAGGATTAATCAGAATATCTTATATGACAAGTCTCAGCCTAAGGTGAAACAGATGCCTCATTCTCCATTACCCTCCATTCTCCATCCTCCACCAATTTCTGAGTTTTGTAAATACATGTAAAATATGTTATGAGATATCAGTCACTATACTAGATTATGGTATTCACCGGGCTTGTTATTTTGTTTGTAAGTGTGTGGCACTATGTGTTGTTGAAGGCTTTCATGGCCGGAATCACTGGGTTGCTGTGAGTTTTCTGGGCTGTCTGGCCAAGTTCCAGAAGCATTCTCCCCTGATGTTTTATCCACATCTATGGCAGGCATCCTCAGAGGCATCCTCACAACCTCTGAAGATGCCTGCCATAGATGTGGATGAAATGTCAGGAGAGAATGCTTCTGGAACATGGCCATACAGCCCAGAAACTCATAGCAACCCTATGTGGCACAACTTTTAAAAACGTTGTTTCTATCTGGTGGCAATGTTCATAACTGATCAATGTCCATATTTCTGTGAAAAGCTTTAGTCACAATTTGGCATAGCATTCCAAATTCCTCTAAATGGAGGGTAGTTAAAAAAACATGATACGTCTTCCTTAAAATAAAAATATATTCCAGATATTTAGCAGTGACTGACTAGAGTCTACCTCAACTTTATATAAGTTTCCTCTTACTATTTCCATAAGAAGGTATATGAAACGACTTGAAGCCTTTTGCCACCAATTCCTACATGATGTTCACATACCAGGTTTCTTATCCTCCATTGCTCAATAATGGCCTGTTAAGACTCCTTAGGGTAGCCTTTTCATTTGAAACTTGCCTCAGTCTAGCTCTTTATTTAGTAGGGCTAAGTAAGCTATGACATCATCAAAAGGTAATAAAAAGGTGACAAAGATATAGAAAGACCTATGTCCACAACAATTTAATTTTGTAATTCACGATTTCTTTCAATGCCACTTATGACAATTTGTCAGTTAACTGTTATTTACTACTAAAAAGGAAATAGTGAAGAGAAGAAATTGGAAGATGACCACATACTTTCTTAGAGTGCATCTACATTGTAGAATTAATGCACTTTGATAGCACTTTAACTGCCATGGCTCAATGCTATTGAATCATTGGGGTGTAGTTTTATAAAGTCTTTAGGTTTCACTGGCAAAGAGTGCTGGTGTCTGACAAAATTACAAATCCCAGGACTCCATAGCATTGAGCCAAGGCAGTTCAAGTGGGGTCAAACTACATTCATTCTTCAATGCAGATACATCCTTATTAACTTCTGGTACCTGCGCCAAAATTGCTTTTTAAAAAGAATATATGTGGAATTTAAAATGTTAGTCAATCTTTTCATTAATTGAGTAATTGATAGCAGATGTGAATGTCAATAAAAATACAAATCTAAGGCACAGGAGGCAGATGTAATCTTAGAATAGGTAATCCCCTTCTCCCAAAAGACAGGAGAAAATTCCTCTTCTAAGTTAGCAGTCCTTTGTAGCATGCTAAATTTTCCTTTAATTTGTGTTTTCAAATTAATAGGAAAACCAGAAATTAAGATGAAGATTGCTTCCAAGTAAGTTAATCTCTGATCTAAAAACAAACAAAAAAACAAAAAAACAAACAAACCCCAAAACACCCAAATACGTAATGGATGTCATCAAAGCAACAACAGAATTTCTCACCAGCCAGTATTAAGGGGTTACCATCAGTTTGAAAGGACAGTATTTTAGCAGTTGTATAATACGTGGTTAGAACATTGCCCTTTATTACCTTTAGATCAGTATGTATTAACTTTGTAGTGTATACACTCTATTCACAAGCATCAAATCAAAATTTAAAAATGTTACAGCATTACAAGTCAAGCACACCTCCCCCCAAAACCCATGCTTTGCCTGGGGTGTGTCTAGATGCCCTCCTTCTGGGAGGACACCCAGGCACACAGAAGCCCCCCAAAAGAAGCCCTTTAAAATTAAAACAATTCACCAGGCTGCCGTTAAAGTACTTCTGCAGTCCTCTTGGCACATAAAAATAATGCACTGGGGGTGGGGAGTTATTTTCCTCCCCCCCCCCCCGTGTCTTGGTGTGTCATTTCTACGCTCCAGGAAGACTCCAGAAATACTTTAATGGTGGCCGAGTAAGTTGTTTTACTTTTTAAGAGCTTCTTTGGGGATTTTGGGGGAGGGGGTTGGTGCCCTTTGGATTTTCTGAGATCATAGAGGCAAAAAACAAACAAAACAAATCAAAAAACAAAACAAAAACCCAAGACAGCTGTGTGGATTGGGCTTGGGGCTCATGTGGCGCGGTCCCCGGGCCCAATGCACACTCGGCCCACACCTGGAAAAGACCCGGATCTTATGAAAGATCCAGGTCTTACCAGGTCTCAAATTAATTCGGTTTTACCGGAGGCATCATTTGGATGGCTCCTTTAAAAGCATGAGAGGTCGCACATTTTGGGCTCTGTCTGGATGAGCCCTGAAGCTATGCTTAGTATAATATATACAAATGGGAAGTGAAATCTGTGCTAACCATTTCCTTCTGATTCTGTCTTAGGCTCAATTATTTTCGTTTCATGATTCAATCCCTCCAAATCAGGCTTCAAATGTTGATCATTATGAATTCCTGAGGAAGAAAAATAGAGAGAAACATGGGATGGAAACAAATAAGTCAATCAATACACCCACATTCTCAAATGTGTTATGCTTTCTGAGTAGATAAATCCATGCTATTCCATTTATCAGCTCTATATCTTTTATACTTATAAGGCCAACATACAGTTATACAAACTTAAGTACCGTGCCATAAAAATTAATATGTTGTACAGGCAAAGATCCCATTCAGTCTTGCTCAAATTACATTTAAAAAGAAGGAGAATCACTGCTTGGGTTTCATACTATGATCTATAGTTCTCGAGTAGTGAGAAAAAAGTTCCCGAAATAGACATGTAATGCCACATATTGTAACATGCATGTTTCCACAGCAATGTAACCAAGCAGTTTGATATTTAACCCTATTTTTTTAACCCTAACAGAGGCTGGATGGCCATCTGTCGGGGGTGCTTTCAATGTGATTTTCCTGCTTCTTGGCAGGGGGTTGGACTGGATGGTCCATGAGGTCTCTTCCAACTCTAGGATTCTATGATTGTATGATTCCAATACATCTTTGGGAAGGGAAATTCAGTCCTAAAAGAGGTATCATGGGAAAAAGGTGTCTCCACTGAAGCTGTGTCCCCAATTCTTGTTTCCATAACAACTCAATATATTCAAAATCCAACTATCACAGGGACAGAAAGTGAGGTGAAATCCTCTGAATAGGAGCACAGACAGCAAAACAAAAACCGCAAGGGTTTTAGCCCTTCCCTATGGTATCCAAAGCACTCTCTCTCTCTCTCTATATATATATATATGGCTAGAAAATGTACCTGTTCCAACTTAGATATAAATTCACCTTAAGAACAAATCTACAGGACCTATCTTGTTTGTAACTGTATATACTAAATGGATAACTTGAGCTCTGTTTGGTTCAACAATTACATGGAAACATAAATCGTACCTGTTTCTTCTTCTACACATTCTTGTAGTCCCACATTCATATTCATATTTTTTGAAATTCTTGTTAAATCATTTTCTCTAAGAAAAGACAAAATCATATATGATTTAAGAAATGCAAACTGAAACGAAAGAGATATTACGCTTTGATGTTCTGAATATAATTATGTTTCTACATTATGTCATTCTGTACAAAGTAAAGGTGGCATCAAGTTAAAATATTGCTCTGAGAGGTAAACTAGACAAGGCGTTACATGCATATTTGCATGTAACATGCACTTTTTTAAAATGTAAAAAGCATTTTAGGTTCATCTACTACTATTAAATATTAACACGGAAAAAAATGCAGGTTAGAACTGCTATATTTTGCAAATTGTTATCCACATCTCGGACAGAGGGTTTCTATACATATTACATGGGGGCAGAATAAGACCTGCCCTTTGTGGCAAGTGACACATTGGTATCATGTTAAGAAGCTTTCTTCATGCTGAACTCGATTATCCCTGTAAGCATGTCTATGTGTGTATATATGCCTTCCAGTTGACCTCAAGGCACTTCTCCTTCTTATTTTATCCTTAACAGATCCGTGAAGTAGTTTAGGCTGAATATGATTTGCCCAAGGCCACCCATTTAGTCTCTGCTGCACCAGAGGCACTCCAAGTGGGCAGATACTGGTCAAAGGACATTTAATCAACTACCAAGCTTGCAAACTTTGTGTTTTGTCTGTTTGTTTGTTTTGTTCTGTTAGAAATGTAATACAATTGTCTGGTTGCCCCTGACACAATAAATAAAATAAAAATAAAATAAATAAAACCCATTTAGTTTCATGACTGAGTGCAGATCTGTTCCTGGATCTTTCAAATCTCTCAGCTCTAACCAATAACTTCTATGCCGGCCCCCTCAAGAGCTACAGGGAACATTCAATGAAGTTGTGGAGTCAGTTCCTCAATAACATAACGGATCTGTTAAGGATAAAATAACGATGTTCTGCTAAACATGACCGCTTATGCAGGAATCATTCATCATGAAATGCTTCTGACAGCATCCCACCAATGAGCACAATATAAAGACCAGTCCAACAGAGAGAAGGTTTAGATCTACAGTGTTGTATGAAGAGATTACAGTTCATTACTGAAAAAGTCCAATGTCAGCAATTTGTTCTAATAACAGAATTAATTAAGAACTCTACTGAAGTGAGACTTACTTTTCTAATGATTTGGCTGCACATAACAAGATCTGCTTTGATGGAGTGTAAGATCTGTTTGAAGATTCATTTCCACATGCCATGCTGCCTTGGTTTAAAAAAAAAGAGAAGGAGAAGAACAAGCATAAAATGCTTTGACATCAATGGCAGAATAATAATGCCACTGAAATGCAGAAACCCTTACTGACTTTTTTGACCTTTTATTCAATTCTTATTTTCTTAAATTCTACACTGAGGTATCAAGATCAAAGGCAGCTTTTGGTTTAGCAGCAAATCAAACTCAGTAAGCAATATGTGTATAAAATAAATGATTCAAATTGTGGTAGAATCAATATATTTTTTAAACTGTAATAATTTTCAATATAAAGGATTTTATAGTAAATGTTTTATCATTGAGGAATTTCAACTGATCCAACAATGAATCTCAAAATGGAAAAAAAAATGTAATTTACCTAACAAACAATATTAGTTTCTACACCTGGATGCCCAAACTCAGAAACACTGGACTAAGATATATCTGCCCTATCTACCGCAAGGAAGACAATTATGTTGATATTTCATTGGTATTAATAATCCCAATGGTGAAGGTGAAGGAGACTTTCTAGAAGGAAAACTATGGCATGCTGAGAAAGAAAGAAAGGAGAAAAGGGGATAAAACCGATTCCTCTCCTCCTCCCTTCTCAGTGCTCACCATTGCTCTTGCTGACATCAGAGCAAGCACTGGAGGAAAAGTACGTGGCATATTGTGGCCAAGAACTACCATGGGACCCCGGAAGGGGGGAGCCATCCGAAGTCCCTGGGCCGCCTAGCAGTAGGGAGAGAATAACAATGTACAGGGTGAGGCAGCATAACTTCCTATTTTAAAATGTGCGCCATTCAGTCGGTTGAAGACGTAGCGGAGCGCTAGTGGTCTTGTTTGAGAGGAAGGAGTATAAAGTTTTGTCCTGACACAGTTCAGTCGCCATCATGTGTTGGAACAGTGAGGAGTGTGCTTTTGCCATTGAGGCCTGCTTCTCGAGCGGATTTGGAATGGCCGGCCCTCTCTCCAGATTTGGCCCCTTGTGATTTTTTTCTATGGGTTTTTTAAAAATCCCGTGTTTATGTGAACCGTCCAGGGACCCTACAAGATTTGAAGACCAACATCCAGGACGAAATTGCCAACATAACGCCTGCTATGCTGGCAAGAGTCATGACAAATGTCAGAAATTGGTTTACTCAGTATATGGAGAATGGAGAATGGGGGACGTCACCTACCTAATTTGATCTTCAAAACTACGTGAAATAAAACTTTAGGTATGCACCTACATTATTAAAAAAATCTGATTCATACAATGGGTTTTATTAAGTTTTGAAAAAAGAAAGTTGTGTATTCATGTGAACTATTTGACAATTCAGTTGGGGGGGGGGGGAATCTGTCCTAGAATAATCACATCACAAAGCTGGAAGGGATGAAAAAGCCACCATTTTCTTTTCTAGTTAAAGACAAGGGGCATTAAGTCAGCCTAATAAAGCACATGTTCAAGTCAGATAAGAATGCATTATTAACAGAGAGTAGTTGCATGACAGCAGGTAATCACACAGGTTAGCTCCTAATAGCTTGTGTAAGTTGAGACACATACTGCAGAGGAAGAGAAGCTGATTTAAGTCAGATGGAAAACCAAGCAAAAGCAAGATTTCTTGAAAACGTATGGTAAAATAAAGTAAAATAAAGTCTTGATGCAATTCATATAGCATTGCTCTAATATGCCATAGTGAAGACTATAAGGCAGGCCTGCACAACCTGTGGCCCTCCAGGTGTTTTGGACTTCAGTTCCCAGAATTCCTGACCATTGGACAATCTGGCTAGGGCTTCTGGGACTTGGAGGCCCAAACACCTAGATGGCCACTGGTTGTGCAGGCCTGCTGTAAGGAAACAGGCTAGAAAGACTGATCTACTGTAGATAAACACATCCTGAAACACAATTACAGCCACTCAAATGACAGATTAAGTAAAGTTCTACTATTTCTCTGGATGGCTAACATCTGTAGGACTAGGGGCGGTTCCAGATAGGCATTTATCCCGGGAACACACCCGAGAAAGCATGCAAAGACCCATAGCATCTGAAGAGTCACAGATTCCTTGCTCCTGTAATGAGCCCTGATGTCAACAGGAGACTGGGTAAAGCCTTTGCCACCCAAACTTCTGCAATCTTCTGTGTGACCACATTACACCATGGCATAGACAAGAGATCTCTGCCAGCAGCAACACAGTGTTAATGGTTTTAAGATAATCTCTCTATATTGTAGCAATGATCTTAGGAAAAAAAGACCAGAAACTAGAAACACTTGGTAGCAATGACTATCACTTTAATTGTAAGGAAAACTGAGAAAATGAACAGTTGCCTCTTCACTACTACAAAACCTTCATGATCTATGACATACTTCTGGAGTATCTGTATAGATACTACTCACATTTCCCACATAGTTCACACAACAAGGAGACAAGAAAGCAGAAGTGGGAGAGAGAGCTGACAGCTACTGTTAGATGCCTGATTTCACATTTACGACTAAAAAGTGCATATAAAACTTTGTGGCTCCTAAAACAGTGAAAGAGGGGGAGAAGAAGATGGAGATGAAATGCTGTTATGGTACAATTCATTGTTCATAACTAGGACATGATTACACAGCTAGCAAAGGTAGCCATGTTATCCAAAAGAAAAATTCCAGAAAATGTGCACGTTAAAATTCATGATAATTTATTATTTATTTATTTATTTATTTATTTGCTGCATTTGTTGACCGCCGCTCTCAGCCCTAGGGCGACTCGCGGCGGTGTACAACATATAAAAACAGTTTACAATAAGGCACAACAAGAAATCAACATATCAATAATACACACTAATCTAAATTACACTAGCTAATCCGCATCGTCACAACATAGAATCATAACCAATCTCGTAATCCGTATACCGTTCCAGTTGTCCTTACCAGTCAATGTAGCACTCAGTTAAATGCCTTCTCAAATAGCCAGGTCTTTAGGCTTTTACGGAAAGCCATAAGGGAGGGCGCCTGTCTGATGTCAACAGGGAGGGTGTTCCACAGCCGGGGGGCCACCACCGAGAAGGCCCTCTCTCTCGTCCCCACCAGACGTTCACACATTCGTCACCCTTGTGGACCACAGCGAAAACAAAGAAAAAGAAAAAAAAGAAAGAAAGAAACGAAAAGAAAAGAAAAGAAAAAGAAAAAAGCAAAGGCTATTTTAAGCCTATATTAATAAAAGTGTAGCTTCCAAGTCAAGGGAGGCGTTCCACCGCCGGGGGGCCACCACTGAGAAGGCCCTCTCTCTCGTCCCCGCCAGACGTGCCTGTGAGGCAGGCGGGATCGAGAGAAGGGCCTCCCCAGACGATCTCAAGGCCCTCGTGGGCTCATAGGCCGAGATGCGGTCCGAAAGGTATTTTGGGCCGGAACCGTTTAGGGCTTTGTAGGATAACACCAGCACCTTAAATTGGGCCCGGTAGCAGATCGGCAGCCAGTGGAGCTGGGACAACAAGGGCGTTGTGTGCTCCCTGCGTCCCGCTCCCGTTAGTAACATGGCTGCCGCGCGCTGGACTAGCTGAAGCTTCCGGGCCGTCTTCAAGGGCAGCCCCACGTAGAGAGCTGCACACTACATGTATTTACAATTCTTCAAATGCAACTCAAGGTGTAATATTATTTGTGCTTACTTAGGAGACAGCCTTAATAAATCCTGTGTGACTTATTTCTAAGAATATATATATAGGATTTTACCATCTACAAACAATAATTGTACTAACCATTTTTAAAAGTATGTAACGAGCCAGCTGTATAATAAATGACATCTTACCATTGCCTTGATTGAACTGGCGCAATAACTACTTCTTCTAAAAAAAAGGAAAGATTGTGTCCACTTACAAAATATTTAGTTTATTAAATGTAGTTTCCTTGTTTAAAAAGAACATGAAAAAAATCTAATTCTCAATATTCACTAAGAAATTACAGTAAGTATTGGTTTAGTAAGCATTTTTAATGTAATATAACACAACTCTTTGAGAAATTGAAGTGTCTTGGCCTTTGTCTGAAGACTTTATTCTAGACCAGGGCTGTGCATGCTCTAAAGCTGTAAGACTGCAGAATGTCATTTTGGACGTCCTTGGAGCTTCAGAGGACTGGAGTATCTCACTGTTGATGTCACTGAAGACCATTTTGTTAATTCAGCCACAATTTTAAGGACAATCAATGCTGCTTGTCCTTAAAATTAGAGGGGGGTAATCTGCCACAAATGAGTGTATGTAAAGTCGAAGAAGTAAGATTTTTATGAACATATTTGGTCGGGATCTGTGTGTGTGTGTGTATATATGTGTGTGTATGTGTGAAGGAGGGAGAGGCTGTTATTCTAGAGAAGGCGAGGATTGGAATGGTCACTTTCCATAAGTCCTGCAATTTCCTGTGGAATTTATTCCAAACTCTCCTTCTCTAATCTCTGAGTTGTAGGGAAAGAAGAGAGTTGCTTCCCCATTTGCTTTCCTTTTTAATTGGAAAGCTGACAGGTCCCCAAAATGAAATATGTACTGTAAGTAGAAAGAGAAGGGATGAAACAGAATGTAAATGTATAACTAGGCCAAAACTAACAAAATAAATTTCATCAAGGACAAATGTAAGATACTACACTTGGGCAGAAGAAATGAAATGCAGAGATACAGAATGGGTGACACCTAGCCTGATAACAGTACATGTGAATAAGATATTGGAGTCTTGGTGGACAACAAGTTGTATATGAGCCAAGAGTATGATGCAGCGGCTTTAAAAAGCCAATGGGATTTTGTGCTGCATCAAAAGGAGTATAGCATCTAGATCAAGGGAAATCATGGTCCCTCTCTAGTCTGTTTTCGTCAGATGTCACCTAGAATACTGTGTTCAATTCTGGGCACTATAGTTTAAAATATCTCAGGCCAACTCTATCTCAACCCCATTCCTCCGAATTGCCTGTTAACATTTCCAGTCTATAGAAATCAATCACTTATTGGGCTGAATTTGTCCAACCTGAGCAAACCTTTTCTTACCCAAGAGAGTATGAAAAAGATTGACATTATCCAATGTTGAGTTTATAAACTATTTACCTTTTGGACCAAATACATGCAATCTTCTAATCCTTTGTTCCTACAATATGGATACAACAACCAACCATAAGACCAGTCATCCAATTCTGCAATCCAATTATTCATCTTACAAATCAGAATTCCCACATGCTGTAGTCGAGCACCATAACATAATAGAGTACATAATATGGCCTTGGGTTACCCAGAAGGTATATTCAACTGATTAAAACTAAAACATTTCCCAATTAAAAAATATTAAAAGTAAAATGCATTATTTTAAGAAAAAGCATATAGCTTTCCAGATTAATATTTTACCTTTATTTGATCAGTCTTCCCTAAGCCATTATACCTAATATAGAATAAAAAAGATGTATAAGTATAAACAAAAGTTTATTAAAGTGGAAATAATAATTTAAAATAAATTTGCACTTGAAAGAACTGTACTGCTAACCAATTATTTGGGGGTGCAGACTATAGTTTGAAAACAAATGGACAAAGTCCTATGCACACGGCACAGATTTTATTTGTAGTGCAAAAAAAGAAAGAGGATTTCAATATTTAAAATAAATAACAACTTTAACCAACATAAACTTACCAGTATTTCAGTGGGAAGTGTGGGCCTGTTTTTGGCTGATGAGATAGTTAAGTTAATTAGGATTGCTTTGGTTGTGTGCCTTCAAGTTGTTAGGACATCCCTAAGTCTAAAGTTTAGGGTGGGGGCTGTTTAAATGACCTTGGTGCGCCATATCCAGCCCATGCGCATTCGTTTGGGGATCCCTACTTTAGAGTATCTTCTCTAAAAGCTGCTTTTCTATTGAAAAAGCGATTACTGGTGTTTATTGTGCGCGCACGCACGCACACACACACACACACACACAAACATACATACTATCACTTCAGCCTTTATGTGGCAGTAAGACCTCTATATAAGTACATCCCAAATAATCAGACTTACTTCTAAGTAGAAGTGATTATGGAAAATACCAAAATATCATGTGGTCTCAAAACTCCTAAACTAACTAATGGTAAGAACTAATTTCCCTTCCTTACCTTGATAAAGACAACCGTTTTTCTAGGACAAATCCATCTTTTAAAAAGAAAAAAGAATCTTATGCCCTTGGACTTAACCTGTATTTTTTCAATGTATACAAAGATTATCAAAATAAAATATAACTTCAAACTGATAGCATTTTCAAGATATATTTAGTACTAAATAAATGAACATTCTTCTTAGCTATCTAAGAAATTATTTGACCAAAAGCCAGATGATCAAAGAAAACAAGCATATTATTAAAACAGCACATTCTTTTTAATGCTGAATTTGGATGGAATGATCAGTTTAGCTGTAAAATTTGGCTATCCTATAATAAGGTAGAGGTTTTGTATGCTGGAGAATACTTCAGGGATATATATTTAAAAAGTGGGTTGTTGTATGCTTTTGGGCTATATGGGCATGTTCTAGAACATGGCCACAGAGCCCGAAAAATGTGCAATAACCCGGTGATTCCGGCCATGAAAGCCTTCAACAATATATATTAAAAGTGTTGGTAAATTTAAAGAAAATGTACAAACAATATGACAGCAGTCCATGTTTCAGGACCTCTGCAATATTGTGGACTGAGAAAGATTGTTGATTTTTAAATGAAGAGGATAAAAGTGTAATTATTTGGCCTGGCATAATTCTTTAGCAGTTTACAGATTGCCGGAAATGGTATTAAGATCAGAGGAATGTCTACCAGAAAGTTAAAAATTCTTTCTTGTTCACTGTACTATTTTTTTCTTGATATCCAGATTTGCAAGCCCTGAACCAAAACTATTTAGTACTATAAAGGACTGTGAAACAAGTTTCAGAAAGTTGAACACAAGCGGAAGTATCATTTTTAACTCCTGAAAGTTCCCCAATCTCCACAAACTCCAATAAGGGTTCTTGCTTTAGGCTGTGGATATATTGCAACATTTTGTTGTCAGCCCCCATTGTTCATTTTGTCGGGTAATAAAAGATAAGTGGCTTCTGAGAGATTCACCAACTATTCAGAAACATACTAATTGGCTATAAAATTGCACATCAGCCTGATGAGTAGTAAATGTAGGTATTGTTAGTAGTCAGGATTGAGAGAAAGATGGGATTCTTTGGAAATGGGGAGCAAGACTGGAGGATGTATGTCACTAGACCACATTCCATAAATCCCAATTCCTCCTCCAGATAGTTCAATATTTAGGACAGCTTGGATGATATATACATGTCTACCTCAAAAGCAGAAATTATAAAGCCTTCAATACATTTTGACTATGAAACCACATCCTCGTGGATACAAATTGGGAAACCATGTATGCAAACCTTGGCTATAGTATATTGAATAGAGACCTTCTGGGGATTTTTGTCATTTAAAACATAACACAGAATGTGTGGCCCTTATTTAAAAGACAGCATTACTGTCCAGACAGCACACATGCCACTTTCATAATTATCAGGCTAACATGGGAACTTGTGCCAATAATGCTTTTTTACAGCATAATCCTATATAAAAGGATATTCATACTTGGTCTCATTCTATTAAATGGGGCTTGTTTCCAAAGAAAAAGAGTATATAATGGCAGCCTATTGTCTACATTTGCACTCTAAACCCTGAAACAAGCATAAGTTTGCACTCCAAACCCCAGAACAGCAAGCAAAAACAAAGAAGAATTCTTATATGCATTTTGAATAAGGACATTTAATCTTTTAAGATGTTAACATTGATTACTATTTTAATAAGAAGAATTTAAAGCCCTACAAAGTACTATAAAATATATAAAGAGCAAATACCTTCAGGACCAATCACTTCCATCATTCCTGAAACCTAAAAAAATGCAACAGAAAAAATCCAAACATTATGGTGAAAAAAACTGCTTATTGGAAGCAAGCAGGGAAGTGTATCCTACACATATGACCTGGAAATGAAATTATTAGAGAGGATTCAAAAACTATTTCTTAATTTTATATAGTATTAGTATTATTACTATAACAGTATGGCTTAACGTAATTTTGTGAAAACAGTTGAATTTAAGTTGCTTGCATGCTTTACAAAACGAAGAAACATATGTTATGTAAAAACAATTAAATAGTAGAGATGTTTTCTATATAACACATGTTTTCCTGTTGACCGCAGAAAATACCAATGGTATAAATCTTCATCTTTTCCTCCTTTTTGGATATAATCATGTTTCTCTCCAGCATGATGATGGCTGTGTTTTTTGTCTATGAATCTGCCTCAATAGGTAGAGGACGCACGGATCATTAAAGATACTTCCTGATTAAGGTCCCTCTGTATTCAACATGAGGCAGTATCTCTGCAGCAAATTTATAACATTCTAAAATAATATATAATTGATACTGATGAAGTGATGTAATTGAAATAATCTGATTGATACTGATATACTATAAGCGAATTAACACTCAAACATACAGTTAAGTTTTATCTTAAATTAAAAAGCTGAAGTGAAGATGTATCTAAAAATATGTGAAACATTGCCATCTAGCTCTACAAAAAGGATTATGAACCTCTACTTTATTTCTGATTCCTTTGCCTTGTCCACCCAATACAACACCAGTTAATCTGCTGCTTCTCTCTATAATATTTCAAAACCACAGCCCTTCTACTTGTCCACTTGGCAACATTCTCATCTTTGTTGTTGTCTTTTTGTTCAGTCGCTTCTGACTCTTTGTGACCTCATGGGCCAGCCCACGCCAGAGTACAGTTATTTCTCACCTAGACTACTGCAAATGTTCCACTGTGGTCTTCCATTATCTTACTTTGGTTCCATACATCTGTATGCCAAAATGATCTATTTCTTTTGTTACTCAGACCAAGTAAAACTCCTTAATCCCTATATTGTCTCCTCCTGAATCTTTTATCTCCAATCCTTGCCTTTTCAGGCTTTGTCCCTTCCATTCATGTTATCTTTTAAATCTTTAGCATTGCTTATCAGTTAGTACTCTACATCTCTTGCTCCACCAAATGAGTCCATCCTTTCTTCTTTGCTGCTCTTTGTACCTCTATGACATAACTTTTCTCTCATTTTTCAAATCCTTCCTCAAAATCTACTTTGCCATTGAAGGCTTGACACCAATAGTATCCATTGGGACTTGTGCAAAGAAAGCAGGGGAACAAAGGGTAGGCAGTGTCAAGGAGAGGTGGAATAAAAGATCACAATAGAATGATTTCAAGACAGAACTAAAATAAAAACTGGTCGGATGAGGGTCTGACCTACACAGTAACACAGAAATCATTTCTATGAACCCACTGTTTTTTTCTGTGCCACCAGTGACGCATTTCTCAAAAAAAAAAAAAACAACAACAACAACCTGATAGCAGGATTAAAAACTGTTTTTAAAGCTGGATTATAAACCGGAAGCCAGCGTAGGAATTAAGGAGGCAAAGGAAACTTTAGAAGAGAAATGTGAAAGGATCGAGAAAATGGGGGAAACTGGAAACCTTTTATAAAATAACTGCGAACAGCTTGGGGCCCTTTGTCCAGTTTCCCATGTTCCAGTGCCTTCCAAGTTAAAATATTTTAAAGGTTTTTTTAGTTCAAAAAGGAAAGTACAACATACCTGCTATCTATAGCTTATGGTTCAACATTCTTCTATCTGGCTGGATGGTGTGACAGAAGATTTCTGTTTCAGGGTAGCCTCTGCCATACACTCCACACATTCACATTCAGCAAACAACCATGGATTTTTTTTGTCATGTCAGGAGTGACTTGAGAAGCTACAAGTCGCTTCTGGTGTGAGAGAATTGGCTGTCTGCAAGGACATTGCCCAGCGGATGTTTGGATGATTTTTGATGTTTTGATCATCCTTGTGGGAGGCTTCTCTCATGTCCCCGCATGAGGAGCTGGACCTGATAGAGGGAGCTCATCTGCCTCTTCCCGGATTTGAACCTGCGACCTGTCGGTCTTCAGTCCTGTTGGCACAGGAGTTTAACCCACTGCGCCACCGGGGGCTCCACAACCATGGATGATAGAGTCTGAATGATTGTCATATACTCTGCTCTTCTTAGTTCTCTCAATGGTGCACACTTTCTTGCTCTGATCATGGCCTGAGCCCACCAAGCAAATGTATCTGAGATCTGGACACTCTCAAAGAGAAACTTAAAGTAATTCAGATACACTGTGCAAGAGCTTGTTGTCGTTTTGTTGTTAACTGCTGTGACTTATGGTAACCCTATGAATGAGATACCTCCAAGTCTCCTATCATCAACTGCCCTACTCAGCTCTTTCAGACTGAAAGTAATGGCTTCTTTGACTGAGTATCTGTCTGGACGGTGGCTTTCCTTTTTCTTGCTGTTTCTACCTTATTGACTTTTCTAGTGAGTCATGTCTTCTCGTGATATGGCCAAAGTGCCACAATCTTAGATTAGTAATCTAGGCTTCTAGGAAGAGTTCAGGCTTCATTTGCTCTACCACCCACTTATTTGTCTTTTTAGTAGCCCACGGTATCTTCATAATTCTTTACCATCGCCACATCCCGAAGGAGTTAATAACTGCAGCCACTGTTCTGATTAATACCATGACTGACCCAAAGCATGGGAAATCTTACACAAATATTTTAATGTCTTCATTGTCTGCTTTAAAGTTATATACATTCGTTTTGTTTTCTTAATGTTTGAATGCTTACCTGCCTTTGCGTTTTCTTCCTTTAATTTCCTGATTGATCATTCTAAGCCCCCCCCCTTTTTGCTGGTAGTATGGTGTCATCTACATATCTTTAATTGTTGGTGTTTCTTCTTTGCTTCCTTCCTCTGAATCTAATCCTGCTTTACGTATGATATTTTCAGCATACAAATTAAACAGAAAGGGTGGCAAGATGCAGCTTTGCTTGATTCTCTTGCCAATGAAAACTATTTTGTTTTTTCATATACTGTTCTAACAGTAGCCTCTTGGAGGTTTCAGAATGCAGCAAACTAAGATTGGATGGATTTTAAAATCTTCATTAATAAACAAATTACGTGAAAAGTAGTGCCTTGAGTAGTTTCACTAAGCAATAAAATCAAAGTAGGGGGATTAGGTGCAGCATTTCTCCTGGTTGCCCTGCTTGGGATTCTTTGGGATTTTGTTTTGATAGTATGGATAAACAAGCCACAGCCAACAGTAGCCAGGAAGAGATAGAATGGTGCATATGCAGGCAAGACAGTAATTTGAAGTTGGCTGCCTGCCAAGCAAGTGACTATGCAAGAGAAGTGTGGCAAAAGGCTGGTAGCTGAAGTGCTTTGATGGTGGGGATACTAAAGAAATTATCCCTGCTTGACATAATTGCGCAATATCCAAACCCTATGTGAAATAACCTAGGTACATGTAATTGAACCAATTGCATATTCTTCTCATTTAGCCTTCCTTCTTATCTTCTTCCTATTTGTGTCTATTTGTTTAAATGATAAACTCCTTAGGGCACAGGTATAGAATCATAGAATTGGAAGAGACTATCCAGTCAAACCCCCTGCCAAGAAGCAGGAAAATTGTATTCAACGCATCTGCAACAGATGGGCATCCAGCCTCTGTTTAAAAACCTCTACCACAGACCAGGGCAGAAAGTTCCACTGTTGAACAGCTCTCACAGTCAGAAAATTCTTCCTAATGTTCAGGTGGAATCTTCTTTCCTGTAGTTTGAAACCATTGTTCTGCATCCTAGTCTCCAGGGCAGCAGAAAACAAGCTTGCTCCCTCCTCCCTATGTCTTTACTTCACATATTTATACATGGCTCTCATCATATCTCCTCTCAGGCTTCTCTTCTGCAGGTTAAATATGCCCATCTCTTTAAGCCGTTCCTCATAGGGCTTGTTCTCCAGACCCTTGATCATTTTAGTCGCCCTCCTCGGGACACATTCTAGCTTGTCAACATCTCCCTTCAGTTCTGGTGCCCAGAATTCGACTCAGTATTCCACGTGTGGTCTGGCCAAGGCAGAATAGAGGGGTAGCATGACATCCCTGGATCTAGGCACTTGACTCCTATTTATGCAGGCCAAAATCCCATTGGCTTTTTAGCTGCTGCGTGACATTGTTGGCTCATGTTGAACTTGTTGTCCACAAGGACTCCAAGATCTTTTTTTCATGTACTGCTGTCAAGCCAGGTGTTCCCCATTCTGTTTCTTTGCATTCCTGTCTTCTGGATTATTGGTTATCCCTCCCAATTTTGTGTCATCTGCAAGCTTGATGATCATGCCTTCTAACCCTTCATTTAAATCATTAATGAAGATGTTGAACTGAACTGGGCCCAGGATTGAACCCTGTCTACCACTCTTTGTAAACCATGATTGCCCATGGATATCACTATATAAATAATTGTAATATGCTTGCTATTTCATGTACATGATTGATGGACAGAATATTCTCCAGTTTGAAACTATAAATGGCATCCTGAACCATGTGAATAACAGATTCGTTCAACAACTGGCTTGATTAAATTTCTTAACACAAAAAATAGTAGTCAAAAATTCAGCATTGAGGTTTCTATGAAAACATATGTGCTCAATGACATCAGTTAAATTCTGTACTTCCATATTGTTGCTATGTGACCTCTTCCAAGTCTATTGTTACATCAATAGGTATGCTACAGGATCAGATCTCCAAGTCTCTCAGTACAAACTAGTGAGATTAATTTTTTAAAAATATTATCTGTTTAATCTCCCTCACACATGTGTAGCAGCTGTTATTTCTGCAGGATACTAGAACCTCTGCTAATCATCTTACATATGATCTGAAATCCATTTAAGCTAGTAAAATGAATTCAGCAGGTCTGGCTAGGACACTAGAACCTCTGCTAATCATCTTACATATGATCTGAAATTCATTTAAGTTAGTAAAATGAATTCAGCAGGTCTGGCTAGAGTTCAAATGGGAATAAGCCAATTTAAGTGCTTTGTAGATCACAACCAAGGTCTGATTACTCACTCATGTGCCTTCCCTTGAAGAAAGGGGGAATGGGAAACAGGTCTTCTATGGAATTGTATAAAATAATCTAGTCAATAAGTACATTGTATATACTTAATATATAGATAATTCATTTCTTTAGTTTGCAAAAGGTGGCTGTTATCATCAACAGCAAATTCATAACTGTAAACAAATGTAAAACTAATTTTTATATTTCCCTTTACGCATATCCTGAAAGGGAACAGAAAACACACACTTTCAGTCCATTAAACAGGAGTAGGAAATTATGACCCCATAGGAACACAGAATAATAGAGTAGGAAGAGACCGCATGGGCCATCTAGTTCAACCCCTTGCCATGTAGGAACACACAATCAAAGCACCCCTGACAGATGGCCATTCAGCCTCTGTTAAAAATCTCAAAAGAAGGAGTTTCCACCATGCTCCAAGGCAGAGAGTTTCCAATATGGTGCTGTAGTAGTGTTGGGAACTGTACCTGTTGAATTTCTGCCTTTTGCACGAATGTTAGGCATCCCGCTTTCTAAAAGAGATAGAATGAAGAAGTCCCTAGTTTCTCCCATAAAGTTTTGTCATTGAAGTTAAGAGAGTCTTCAAAGTTAGGTTTAAAAGACAAGAATTTGAGATACTTATTGTTATGGAGGAAGATTGGGGAAGAGAAGGTTCCTACCTTGGGTGCTCCTGGCCTGGCAATCCCTTGACCCAAGACTATGTTAAACCTGGAGAAAAAAGGAGGAACCATCAGAGTTGCACTGAAATTATTAAGAAAGTATTAAAAGGCCTGCAGTATTGTAACTGTTTTTAATGTATTTTGGGGTGCTGAATTTGAAAAAGACAACTTTTTCACAAATTCAATGTTTTTACCAATTTGTTGGCATGAAACACAAAAAAATATTCAAAGAACAATAGAAATTGGTTCTAGTATGATTTTGATTGGTCTTAGCATATTTTTGTGTTTTATGCTAGTAAACTGCAGTATTTCGAAAGTCAATTTCTTACTCTTTGTAAGATAAATCTTTGCAAGATGAATTCCATTCTGCCACACGTTGCTGTGTGGCTTCCAGTCATTTCCGACTCATGGCAACTTTATCTTGGGGTTTTCTGAGGCTAACAGTGTGGCTCTACACTGCCATATAATCCAGTTTCTAAATCCAGATGATCTGCTTTGAACTGAATTAGAGTAGACTCAGGCCCTAATAATAATAATAATACCATCATCATCATCATCATCATCTTTATTTCTATCCCACATTTTCTCTCCATGCGGACTCAGGGCGGTTCACAACAAACCGTAAAGTACAACAAAAAACACCGTAAATCAGGTAACATATTAGACATTGACATCAGGCAACAGTGAAACATTGTAATGTAGTAAATGTCCTTGTTTATTTCCTTAATTCTTCCTGAAGGATGAGTAGACTACTAGGAGCACAGTCATCCTTCAGGAAGAATTAAAGAAATAAACAAGGAAATTTACTACATTAAGAATGCAACTACTGTGTATTACACTGTGAATGAACCAGTTTGATTGTGATTTGTAACTGTTTACGTGGAATTTACATTGTTGGTTAAACCCATGGGAACCCATTTTTTCTTATAACAGGGAAACATTACAATACATTCGATATCAAATAACTAGAAAATTACATTTTATGAACCTTTAGAGACAAAAACTTAAAATTGGGATTAATAAAATGAAAAATTAAACTTCAGATTTAAAAACCAGAGGCCCCTTCTACACTGCCATATAATCCAGATTATCAAAACAGATAATCCACATTATCTGCTTTCAATTGGATTATATGAGTCTACACAGCCATGTAATCCAGTTCAAAGCAGATTATCTGGATTTTACATAGCAGTGTACAAGGGCCCTACACTGCCATATAATCCTGATTAAAGTAGATATTCCAGTTTATCTGCTTTGAACTGGATTATATGAGTCTATACTGCCATATAATGTAGGGTCCTTCCACACACCAATGTAACCCAGAATATCAAGGCAGATAATCATAGAATCATAGAATCAAAGAGTTGGAAGAGACCTCATGGGCCATCCAGTCCAACCCCCTGCCAAGAAGCAGGAATATTGCATTCAAATCACCCCTGACAGCTGGCCATCCAGCCTCTGTTTAAAAGCTTCCAAAGAAGGAGCCTCCACCACACTCCGGGGCAGAGAGTTCCACTGCTGAACGGCTCTCACAGTCAGGAAGTTCTTCCTCATGTTCAGATGGAATCTCCTCTCTTGTAGTTTGAAGCCATTGTTCCGCGTCCTAGTCTCCAGGGAAGCAGAAAACAAGCTTGCTCCCTCCTCCCTGTGGCTTCCTCTCACATATTTATAAATAGATATCATATCTCCTCTCAGCCTTCTCTTCTTCAGGCTAAACATGCCCAGCTCCTTAAGCCGCTCCTCATAGGGCTTGTTTTCCAGACCTTGATCATTTTAGTCACCCTCCTCTGGACACATTCCAGCTTGTCAATATCTCTCTTGAAATGTGGTGCCCAGAATTGGACACAATATTCCCTGTGGTCTCACCAAAGCAGAATAGAGGGGTAGCATTACTTCCTTAGATCTAGACACTATGCTCCTATTGATGCAGGCCAAAATCCCATTGGCTTTTTTTGCCGCCACATCACATTGTTGGCTCATGTTTAACTTGTTGTCCACGAGGCCTCCAAGATCTTTTCCACAGGACTCCTCTCGAGCCAGGCAATATCTGCTTTGAACTGAATTATCCGAGTCCACACTACCAGTTCAATGTGGATGTTATACAGCTGTGTAGAAGGGGCTCCAGTTCAAAGCAGATAATCTGGAATTTAAATGGCAGCGTATAAAGGGCCTCATATAATAATTACTATCATAACTTTATTTATACCTCACCTTTCTCCCTGTGGGGACTCAAGGTGGCTAACAAACCTACACCAGACAAGTTTAAAAAGTGCAATATTAAAGTAAAACAACAACAACAACAAAACAAAACAAAAACCCCAAATATAATCCAGGGCCCTTCCACACTGCCATGTAACCCACAATATCAAGTCAGGAATTTATTTATTTATTTATTTATGACATTTGTATGCCGCCCTTCTCACCCCAAGGGGACTCAGAGCAGATTACAAAATCTATTAGCATAGTACAATATCAGTATTATATATTACTATATTGTACTATACCATTATATTGTAATATTATTAGTATCCCAGGCGTATCCCTATAATATTATCCGTTGCCCAGGCATCCCCTGGGCAATGTCCTTGCAGATGGCCAATTCTCTCACACCAGAAGGGACTTGCAGTTTCTCAAGTCATTCCTCACACGACAAAAAAAGTAATATTACATGTAATATAAAATATATAATTATAATATCATATTATTAGTAGTATTATTATATTGTATTACATTATAATGTTATTATATGCATATACAATATATTATCTCTATAAATAAAAATGTAATGTTCGTTTGTGGGATTAACAGAACTCAAAAACCATTGGATGAATTGACACCAAATTTGGACACAAGAAACCTAACAACCCAATGCATGTATTTAATTAAAAAAAAATGATTTTGTCATTTGGGCGTTGTAGTTGCTGGGATTTATAGTTCACCTACAATCAGAGAGCATTCTGAACCCCACCAACGATGGAATTGAACCAAACTTGGCACACAGTTCTCTCATGACCAACAGAAAATACTGGAAGAGTTTGGTGGGCAGTGTCCTTTGGTTTTGGAGTTGTAGTTCACCTACATCCAGAGAGCACTGTGGACTTAAACAAGGATGGATCTGGACCAAACTTGCCACGAATACTCAGTATGCCCAAATGTGAACACTGATGGAGTTTGGGGGAAATATAATCTTGACATTTGGGAGTTGTAGTTGCTGGGATTTGTAGTTCACCTACAAAGAGCATTCTGAACCCCACCCCAACGATGGAATTGGGCCAAACATCCCACACAGAACCCCCATGACCACCAGAGAGGGCCACAGCAACGTGTGGCAGGGGATGGCTAGTATTATATAAAATCCCACAATATCCACTTTAAACTGGGTTCTGAGTCCACACTGCCATATATTCCCGTTCAAAGCAGAAAATGTAGAATATTTTACTCAGCTGTGTGGTAGGGCCCCCAGTTCAAAGCAGATAATCTGTATTCAGAAACTGGATAATATGGCAGTGTAGCTCCAGCCTGTGTGACTGGCTCAAAGTCAATGAACGTCAAAGCAAGTTGTGAGGCATGCTTTTCTAAGGGCCCTTTCACACAGCTGCATAAAATCCCACATTATCTGCTTATTATTATTATTATTAAACTTTATTTGTACCCCGCTAGCATCTCCCAGAGGATTCGATGCTTTGAACTGTGTTATATGGCAGTGTGGACTCAGAGAACCCAGTTCAAAGCAGATATTGTGGGATTTTCTGCCTTTATATTCTAGGATATAGGGCTGTGTGGAAAGGCCCTGACTCTTTAAGTTGTGGAGCGGGGCCTGTGTTGTTCTGGCTACCTGTTCATGGCGCGCGAGGCGAGGCACTGGGTTCGGCCCGGGTTTCCTCACAGAGGCTTCTCCTTCTTCTCCTTCTTCTTCTTCTTCGCGCGCCCACGGGGCTGGGCAGCAACCACTTCGTCGCCATGGCAACAGCACGCTCGAGGCCTCCCCGGGAAAGGAGGCCGGCCTGGAACGCCGCGCCCGAGAGGAAGGGTTCCGCCGCGCGACCAAAGGAGAGCGAGCGCACACGCCGGGACTACTGGATCAACTGGGCTTAACTCTTCCACACAGCTGAATAAAATCCCACATGATCTGCTTTGAACTGGAAAATATGGCAGTGTGGACTCAGATCACCCAGTTCAAAGCATATATTGTGGGATTTTCTGCCTCGATATTCTGGGATACAGGGCTGTGTGGAAAGGGCCCTAAGAAACTTTCTAGAAAGATATACCGTACACTCCTGTGGTGTTTATTTTGCTGTCTGTGCCCCTTCACCCCCTTCATAAGTGCTCACACAATTGGACACAATTAAATAATTTTTAACTTTTAAAAAAGATAAAAAGAAGGGGCATGAGGAGGAACATGGGTAGGCATGATGGGGAAAAGGAGTGAGATGGGGAAGGATTTTGGGGTGGGTTCTAATGGGAGGGGGAGGGCAATGCAGGGGTAGATGTAGTAGGGATAAGGGAGGGTATTTGAGTCTTCCTTCCTCTTGCTGGTGGGCTTGCTTCAATGGATATCTGTTACCTTTTCATTTGTTGGTTCTTAGGGCCCTTCCACACAGCCCTATGTCCCAAGGCAGAAAATCCCACATTATCTGAGTGTGGACTCATAACCCAGTTCAAAGCAGATATTGTGGGATTTTCTGCCTTGATATTCTGGGATATAGGGCTGTGTGGAAGGGCCCTTAGTCAGTTCCAAGGGACGGCAGTTCTCTTTATTCTCATTAATATAAATGAGAATATAAAGGCAGAAAATCCCACAATATCTGCTTTGAACTGGGTTATCTTGAGTCCACACTGCCATATAACACAGTTCAAAACAGATAATGAGAATAAAGAGAAAATAATCTTTTCTTTAAGCTTCATATTTTCTTGTCTCAGATAGTTTTTCAGTTGTGTCCAATTTGTCTCTCTTCTAACTCTGTTTTGACTGTGTGATAATTGTTGTGTTAGTATGTCCATTTTCATAACCTACCATTTTTGTTAACCATATCTGTATTGTTGGGATTTCTTCTGTTTTCCAATGTCTCGCGGATACAATTCTCGTTGCCATTGTCGGATAGGTAAA